TGTGTGTGTGTGTGTGTATTAGAGCAAGAACAATATGGAATCTAACAGAAAACATGGCAGTTGAAATTACATGTTCTACATGTTAGTTACATCTGAGAGTGTAGGTGATGGTGTGAGCATGTGTGTGTATGTTAATATTTTTAGTGTTTTCATGGGTTACACTATGTTGGCATTTCAAACAAATTACAAAAAAAAGAAAGTCATCAGTACAGAGAGCCTCCAGCCACATGGAGACAATGGTAACCTAGGAAACGGCTGGTTGTCGAGGATTTGATATATCCTGGCAACAGTTGTTAAGTCTGCGGAGGATGGCTCTGATGAACTGTTTGTTTCTCTCCGAGACGATAATTACAGCTAAGCTGCTTTTTCAGCATGTCTGCGCTCTCTCCTAATCACCTCACTGTCAGGAGGGAGACAGGAGGGAGTGATGGAGGGATGGTTTTACGAAACAGGTGGAGTGTGGAGGAGAGGGAGGTGTGCAAGAGAGTTTTTGGTTGTGGAATGGTGAAGGGAGTGCAGGATGGCTGTACTGCTGCATTCACACGTTAAAGACAAAATCAGTAGATAGAAGTTTCCTAACTCGAAAGGCAAGTTTTATCAGTTTCTGGTAGCAGATAAAAACTCACTTGATGAATGACATTTCAATTTCACAAAAAAATTTCATCACATAAGTCATTTTGCAGTTGCGTCACTGGAAATGCCGTCAAAACACTACATATTCCATTTGTGGTTGTCTTGCGATGCTTAGTTTGCTCTCAGTCATGGATTCACATGTATCAATCTTCAGCTGCATGTGCGTGAAGTGTGAAAAAGCTGATGACAGCACCCAGCGCGAGTAGAAAAATCCACTCGGGCTGCTTGACGGCTTCAGATGACTTGTGCTAACACTTCCAAGATGTTTGTTTTACCTGTCAAGTTGTTCCTAGTCGTTCGTGCATGATGTGAACACAGAATAAGCAGTTTTTTGACCGTTTGCTGTACATACAATTCTGAGCCAAGACAAGTGTGGTTTTAATGCATAGATCTGTTTT